TCTTCAAACTCCTCCTCGTCATTGTTGAACTCCGACTCCTTCTCTGGATCCTCTTCTAGCTCTGTACTAGACTCTATTTGGATGCGCTCTACTACCTGGTCATCGTCTTCAGCATGTGGCAACATGTGATCGATAGATCCTGGGGCCACTATACAGTGCATTGAAGTAGTCACTAGGTAATATGGCAGGATCTCATGGTAAATTTGCAAACCATCCACTGCTTCCTTTAGCCAGGCTATACCCTCTCTGCTTGGTCGGTCCAACTCGTCTTCCTCATTGATCCAGACATAATACTCAGGAGTGCACCACGAGTTTTTACCTATTGGCATTTTGACCAGGTCGTTCCACTCTTCTTGGAGCCTTCTGATCTTGGGGATTGGAATTTGTCCGTTGTACTAATGCTCGTACAACGCAGTCCTTGTCCACAAAGGCACATCTTGGATCATCCTGAATTGTCTAAGTACCCGTAGAGGTGAATATAGTTGAATGAACTCAAGTCCGATAAGCTTAATAAAGTATTTCTGGGGAGTCATTAAGATTGCTCTTCCACGTAACCATGATAACTTCCAATTGATCCATTCTCCACTCAGATTGGTCAACATTTCCCTCCACTCTTCTTGCCCATATGGGGAGACCCAATGTATTATCCTCTCATTGTGGCTACAGATCATGTTGCTGATGCCCATAAAGTAGTAAATGGTGGCCTCTCACTGGAAGAATGTTTAGTAGTCCATATCTGAAGCAACAAGTTACAACCCTTAAAGAAATCATACCCTTGTGCACATGCGTACAAAGCCCTCAACATCTCAACTAGCAACATCGGCACCAAAATAGCTTGAAGGTTGCCACAGAAGTTCGCCAAAACCATGAGTAAAGTTGATGTTAACTCGACCCCTCCTCTACGGGAAGACCAATGATTGCAACAGTACCAATAAGAATGTGATAGGATTGAAACTCTCCCACATCGTTTGTCACATTGAAACTCTCTTGAATACCACTCATAGCTTTCCTAGTTTCCAAATCTATCAAATAGCCGGTTGAGGCTCACCCATCTGTCCTCGATATTTCTCAGACCCTGACTTTTGGCCAGGCCTAAAGCATCTAAGAACTGATAACCGGGCATAGTAACTGGCAGTATCAGCTTACTTCCATTAAACAACAGTTCCGTGAAACTAGTAACTTTTTCCAATGTCGGTACTAACTCACGATCGGCAAAATTGAACACTACCTTAGCTAGATCCCAAAACTTTATCAGCATGCGAGTGAGCACCCTATTTGTTGGATGTTCAGCCAAGCGATTAGTGCCCCTAGGTATTTGCAAATCTCACCTTCGTGTTCCCAGCGAATGTTCTTCCACCACTACTTCAATTTGTGTGGCTCCTATCACCATGTTAATCTCATGGATCTTTTTGTTGATTTCCATTTTCTGAGATGGGTAAAAGAAAAGTGTTTGGTAAGTGTTTGCTTCTGATCTTTAAGTGTCGTATCAGGTTTGTTTGTCTTTCCACAGAAGTCATGTTATTGGGTACATGACCCGTTGACATTAGGGTGGCTTTCCTAATTGTGTGTCAATGCCAAGGGTCGACTCATATAAGGTTTATGTAGTATTACCTATGCTTTCTAGAATAGAGCATTTCGTACTTTTGAATTGGTTTGAAGGTTGCGATAAGTTATGTCAGTTGACTTGACAAATCCATTCTCTGAAACTAGAGAGTTTTGAAAAGAAGGTTCGGAGGGGTGTGAAAGATAACCCTCCTGTGTCATTGTGTATGATAGTTTATGGCCAAGAATCGATAGAAAAAGATGTGATGATGGTGTATGTAAAGTAATAACAGATAAGAGTGTAGCAATTGTAAGCTTGATAATAAATATAAAGAGCAAATAAGACAGGTAAGCATGTAATTGCAATTTTATCTATAATTAAGGCAATGCACAAATAAATCTAAATGTCAAATTTGGTCTAAGTCTTCTAAGGTCAGAACCTGAGTGTGAAATACCTAGAAGTGTTGCCAAGTTGTTGCACCCTATTTGCACTTAGTCAAAACAAGATTCTACTTGTGTTTTCTCTGTTATTGATGAAAGAGAGTTGCCACCTAATATTTAAAGGTATAATAGGATACCTATTTAACTACTAAGGTCATATTCTTTATTAGTCTTTTTACCGGTGAGATTATGGATAAGGGTTCTTGCTCTTCTAAGAAAAAGGTGTTAGGCACCCCTTAAAATTTACCTGAGTTAGCTCCATAGGATTTAGATTAGATTTGGAATCAATTATTTATACTATGCCTAGTGTTCTAAAGCTTACCATATATTAGGGCATAATTCCTAGGTGGTTTTTAAAAAATGGATTTAAAGAAGAGTCTTAGAAAAAATGATGTCAGTGCATATATATTTTAAAAAAGTATAAAGGTATATATGATGTTTATCTAAAAATATGTGAAAAGAAGAGCTAAGTTAGAAAATATTTTGTCTTTTAAGAAGCATGGAGGTGTATATTACTCTAGCGAAATGCTATGAATGTGAGCCTCAGATGTACCTTGACTTTTAAGCATTTGAAGAGGGCTGTTTGAAAATCTTTTTGGGTGACAATACCTTTGTTTCAAAATGACTTGATTTTCCTTTTGAAGATAAAGCTTGTGTTTCAAATCTCTTTTTTTTCTTTTTGAAAGTGGAGCTGCCATTTCTTACTAAGCTTTGAGGACTTCAAAATCCTTTAAGAAAAAAGTTAGCGAAAGCATAGTAATTTAATGATATAAACAACTTATATAGCGAACACAAATTTAATTACTAACTAATTCTTCTTTTAATCCTATGTTATTTAAGTCTTGCCTAAGTTTTATATGGTTTAAGATATAAAGTAAATCATTCAATCCAATTTATAATTGTTGTATACATGTGAAATAAAACAACAACAAAATGCGACAAGGCAGTAAGGCTAAGGCAATGAAACAGTAAAAAATAAAGGAGTTAAAGGAGAGGATTGGACTCTGGTATTTGTGCCTCAAAGAGGCAGGCCCAACAGTAATAGGGACGACAGTAGCTGACTTCGAGTTTCCAAAAATATAGCAATGCTGGCCTTGAGCCTGAGTTTCTCAAGAATTCAGCATGCCCGAATAAATGTACATGTTAAAAAAGAAAGAGAATGCCATTAGATACCTATTTTATACATCAATCATACATGAAAACACATAGGTAAATGATTGGAGCAAAATATAACAGACTATCAATGCTCAACTACTATGAGAACTTATATCAATGTGGCAGTTATATATCATAAATAATATACATTGAGAACCTTTCGTGTCATTAAACACTAAACCCAAAGAAAATAACAAATATCAATGAATAAAGGCTAAGGAGAGAGTTCCACTCAAGGTCAATGCCCCCTTGAATCCCCCGGCCCTTAAAAGTTTCCAAGGGTCTCAAGGCCAAGGGAAATGCTTGTGCTGGTGAGAACAGCCCAAACCTAGAGCTAAACTCGGCTCCCAAATACCCCTAACCACTAACGACTCATTTTCCCCCATAGGTTTAAGTGCCAATGAGGCTCTTCCAATATAAACCAACTACCATAATATACCCTGCCACAAAAGTATACTTCCCCTTGGCAGAATAAGGACACAGAAATAGTTTTACTTTTTATAACCATATTTCCAATACTAAGTGAATGGAACCCACATTAAACAATTCTGAAAGCCAAGGTTCCAAACATACGTAAAGGAAGGAACTCTATAATGTTGCTGCTAAAGAATTAAACACTTGGGGTCAAATCTAAGGATAGATCAAGAGCACAAAATTTAGACATGCAGCTTGAGCATACATAGACCTTAACATTGATCACAGAAGAACATGTACTTAGTCTAATGGCATCAATGAATCACTTGGATCATTAACACAGATTCAGATTATGACATAAATAGGTTATTGTATCCAACCAAGTAATAGTAAAACTCTCCTCTGCATCAGGTTCAATCCAGAACAACAAAGGAAAACACAAAGTTTGAATACAGTACTCAAAAATGTGAAGCCATGGAGGATAAACAAAGTTCATTCCAAAACTAACACACATACAGGGACTTCAATTGAGATTATGACTTCACAAAATCAAATAAGTCCCAAATATTGGAGAAAGGTTGATAGTATCATTTGGGGGGGGGGGTTATGGAGAGGGAGATGTCACACTTAACAAACTCAAATCAGCTACACAGAATTAGTGGAGTGGTTAAATATGGTGGAGTCATATTCAAACTATTAAGAGGGCACAACTATATTCTGGTTTACGGGAAGTAGACTGATCATGTCAGACCCTACTGATGTTCAAGGGAGAAACCATTCCAGTAGGGCTGCCTACAAGTTGACAATCAGATATGAATGTAAAACACTCATAATGAGGATCCATTAACATTCATGAAAGCATTTTTATACTTAAATTCCATAAATCTTAACTTAGTGAGGTAGGGTCATCCTATGCATTTCATACATAGCCTAGCTAAACTATCTAACAACATCCCAAATTCAAAATAACAGGGCTAAAAAGCATGACATGTTAAACATGGAGACTGTAATAACAACACTAAGTGTGCCATAATAGAACTCAAAGGATATAGTATGATGAACAAAGAAAATCTAAGTAAGATTGCAGGACTTTAAAATGATGCTTTAGAACTCAAGAGAACATAATATGATGAGTTATGAAAACTTATAACAGAACATTCAATAGAGCATATCTTAGCACTACAAGAAATTGGAATTTTAGCGGCAACATATAGCGGTTATTTAGCAGCGACTTTTCTGAGGTCACCTCTAATGTGGCAGACATTTCCGGTCCCGCTCAAACTAAAATATTTGCTCCATATTATTTGTGGCGACTTTTAAGTTGTCGCCGCTAAAGTCCTATTGCAACGACTGGGTCGCTGCTAGACCCCTTATATTTTAATTGAAAATAACAAAATAAAATAAATAAAAGTCTTCCTAATTAAATGACACAAAACAGAGACGCTCAAACACCTCTGTCTCTCTCTCAAATCTCTCCTTCCTCTCTCTAAAATCCCTTCTCCCTCTCTCTAGAATCCCTTCTCTGCTTAAATTTTACCCAGCTCTAAATCTCTCAAATCAAGATGTGAATCTCATTTATCAAGTTTGTGGTCAAATCCCTAATTTTTCCCTTTTTCTTTTAGGAAAAAAAGTGAAGTGCATAATGGACTTTTGTGGAGGAAGAATCGCACATCCGATTTCTCTCCCTAATCTCAAGTTGTTGGTGACCTAATGCTTTCCCTAATCTCGGCTACTTTTCTGAGTTTTGTGCATATGTTTAACTGAAAACTCATATTAGTTTATATGTAAATTTATGTTTGGGATTTTTTAATAAGGATTTTGTATTCTATAAGGTAAAATTTTCAACATGCAGATAGAGATTATTATTATTTCAGTGATTGTACATTTGTATTCGCAGATTTCATCTCGAATTTCTCTGAACCATTTGATAATCTACAGGAATACAAAAACAAAATCATACAAAAAGACTCATTTGAACCTATTTGGTGTTGTCTTGAAAGGACTCTCACCTATCTCTTTTTTGGGTAAGTTAAAAGCTTCTTCTTGAGAGACCTATTGTATGTTGGTATTCCATGCTTATTTTTTTTCTTTTATGACTATGTGCCTAAATCAGTGCATACACACTTTTAAATTTAATAAGGCATATATATGTTACTGTAAGGTTATAAGAAAACATAATACTTCTTTGGTAAATGCATGTATTTGTCCACTTAAACAACAATTTGAATGTAATATGCTTGTTTGTCATCTAGAAAAGGAGTTGAGATGAACTATCAACTCCTAACCACACCCTAAAAGCTAAATGCCTTATGTTTTTATTTAGTTGGGCAAATGTTTCCCCTATAGAATCCCCCAAAACCTTTTTGAATTTTGTTAGCTCTTTGTATCTAAGATAGCATATATGTAGTAAGTTAACAAGTGATGTTTTTTGCTTTTTGAAGCTTCTATACTTTTGCTGCTTCTTGTAATATTTGCATCTTCTTGATAAAATCAATGAAGCCAATTATTTTATTAAAAAAAAGGAGTTTAGAGTAGGAAAAATAGGAGATGACTTGGTAGAATTTTTTGAGCAAGGATCCTATTTATCTATTATCTCAGTTTTTTAGTTTGTTTTTCCTTAGATAAACATTTATGCCATTAGTACTGTTGCAACTTTTCAGTTAACTATCCTATAGGAGATTCAACGTCGAATGATAATTGCTAATTGTAGAGCTCTTTCTTAATATTGTATAAAGAGGCTTACCCTGTATTCCATTGGCATTACGTGAAGATTTGAGGAGAATGGAACTTTGGCAAGAGACTCTTATGTTAGATTAAAGATTTGAGTTTTTATAAAAATTAAAGTGACAACCGGAAGTGTCTTTCTCTTATTGTTTATTCTAAGAATAAGAGGCTTACCTTGTGTCTTTCCCTTATTGTGTTCAAACGAGAGCATTTTATATTTGCAATTTATTTGTGAAACCAGTTAAGTATCTTTTTTTATTATTTCTGCTACATTGTTTCCACTTTAGGTGTGTGAAAATGACTTGTGGTTGATAGTGTACTAATTTGTGTTCGCATCGTAAAAATCAGTTTTTGGCATGTGTGTTAAATTAATTTTCCAAATTTTTTTACTGCTTTTATTACTCTAATTTACGTTTTACTTCAGAGAAACTTTTTTCTTAGTGATTCTCTAAACTGATGTTCTTGCTTTTAATTTAACAATAACTATCGATGTAGTGCAAGAACATGATTACCATAATCTTTGTTGATATAACTAATTAGGACCAGGAAGGAATGACCCCCTTTTTTTTCCTATCATAACACACTTTATAGTTTAATGTGGTTAATCTATATGACTAAGTTGCTTCAATTCTTCCTCGAATTACTGTTTTTTTCAAAACAATATACACAATAAGGAAGATGATTTCATTAACGACAATCATATAAATATATCCGAGAGTGAAGATAGCAAAGAAGAGTTATTTGATGATGATGATGGGGAGGACACTATAAAGACTATGAAACAAAAGACTGATTATATAGACGTCTACATTATGTTTTGAAAATTCTCTTTATTTCTCCTTATAAACTAACAATGAATTAGTTCTTGATGCTTGAAATTTTATGTCTATATCTTATTTTTAAAAGTTCTTTGTATGTTTGTAGTTATTAGACTTACAATGATATTAGTTTGTGATGCTTGTAGCTTTATATTTGCATCTTACTTTAAAAAGTTCCATGTATTTGTGTCCTTATCAGACTGAATGTAATTTGTTCATGATGTTTAAAGTTGTAATTTCATAATAGAATCAACAGTGAAATAAAATTAGTGATTTATTCTAATATTTTAATTAATTAACTAATTTTAATGCTCTAATATATGAATTAATAGTTTCTCTATTTTAATCAGTCCTTTCCTTTTTATGTGTTGTTTTAAGAAATGAAAAGAACTGAAAAGCTCGACTTAGCATTCACTATTCTAAATACAATACTAATGAAGAAAGATTGTCTCATCGACATGAAGATATTGAACTTGAGGACTGGAAATACCTAATACAATATTTTGGAAGTCCGAATTTTAAGGTAACTTAATACTTGAAGATTCTACCAACCGAATGGCTCCATACCCATCTTGCAATGGTTGTTTATTAATCTGTTGACTTACTGCAGGTTGTAAGTGAGAGGAACAAAAAAATGAGAAAAGCAAATAACTAAGCATGCTTGTGGTACAAGGTCTTTTGTAGAAGTATAGGAATCTGCAGTGAAAATATATTATTCCCTCATTATCACATATGCATATTTGTTATTTATATATTTGCTTATATATATTTTCTCTGGAACTATCTTGTAGAGAAATCCTATTTCGTGGAAAAGGGTATAGAAAGAAGCCTCCCAAAAAAGAGTCACGCAGATCAGGCAAACATAGAGTCCAGTGTATCTTTTGCTATGAAAATTATGCGTCAAGAGATGCAAGCCGGCATGGGTCGGAAGTTGTAGGAAGAACGTGAACAAATGGTTGCTGAGTTGCAAAGGAATATGGAACTTGAGTTGCAAAGGAAGTTGGAACACGAGTTGTCCAGGAAGTTGGCAGAGGAGCGTGAACTCGTGAATGTAAAAGTAGAGAAGAGGATCCAACTAGAAGTGGAAAAGAAGATGCAAGAACAATTTGCTACTTTCATGACCAGAATGCAACATGTACTTGCTCTGCTCCTTCTTAGCAATTCTTCTTCCTTCTCGACATTTCTTCTTCCTTCCTTCTTGAAAATTCTTCTGAGACTGGCTTCCTATCTTCTTTTCAACTTCTCCTCCTTTAACTTTTATCTTCTTGATGAATCTATACCTTGATTTGAAGCTTGGCTAGGGTGAGTCTATATCATTAGTGTTTGGATCATCCACAAGTTTATCTTTTGATAATAGGTTGTTGGGTTGTTTTGTATTTATCTGAAATCTAGATTTTTCAATTAGACATATAAAGAGTTTGAAAGAATGCCTAAGAGAAATCTGGGTTGGGATAAATAGTTAAAAATATTATCATGTTTCTGCAGTCTAGTTAAAAATGCTTTGTAAAAACTAATGTGCCATTGTCAACAGGTGATGACACAATTAGTTCCTGGTCAATTGACCTCTACTAACTTTTTAGATATTAAAATATGGGTTTTCAAGACGCAAAAATATACGCAGGCATAAAAGCAAGCAGCTACGTAATTTTAAACGAAGGAGCCGGAACTTTTAGCTTTTAAAATAAATGAATTAGAAAATTTTACGATACAACTTTCTCAAAATGGCAATCTGTGGCCAAGCGAAAATGGAGGCTTTTTATTAAGGGGGAAAATGGAGGTTATCTTTTGCAATTAAAATGCAAGTCTCACAACAGAAGTAGTGAAGTTACCTCTAATCATGATACATTTAGGCATAAAAGATGTCACGACCCAATATCCACTAAGGGTCGTGATGGCGCCGGATAACGCTGCCAGGCAAGCCAACCAAAATACTTTAATTAAATTCTCGTTTTAATAATTTTGAAAACTATGATTTTCCTTTAATTTCAATAGTAAAAGACAATCATTTCAAGTAAAATATAAATGTTAAGAAGTTAATACGAGATAACCCATAATCATCACAGAACCCGGTGTCACAAGTACATGAGCAATTACTAGGGAATGAAATAAAATATAGTAACTGTCCGGAATACAAGTGAACAGAATGAAAATATAGTACAATACTCTGAAGGAGGACAAGATGCAGGAAGTAAGACTCAGATGGTTCGGGCACATTCAGAGGAGGAGCACTGATGCACCGGTGAGGAGGTGTGAGCGACTAGATGTAGTGGGCACGCAGAGAGGTAGAGGGCGACCTAAGAAGTATTGGGGAGAGATGATCAGACAGGACATGGCACGACTTAGGATTACTGAGGACATGACCCTTGATAGGGAATTATGGAGGTCGAGCATTAAGGTTGTAGGTTAGGGAAAAGTTGTGAATATCTCTACAGCACAATAAAGTGAGACTAGCCAGTTAGGAGTTAGACTAATGCCATTGGTCGTCTATTGATGCAGGGCTTTACCTGCTAGTTTTTACTATACCAGCCATCTATTTCGTATTTCGTATTTTGTATTCTGTATTTCATATCTCTTATATTGCAGTTATTTTATTATGCATTTTATGGTACTAATATATCGTCTCTTGTTGCTTTCTTGAGCCGAGGGTCTCCTGGAAACAGCCTTTCTACCCTTCGGGGTAGGGGTAAAATCTGCGTACATATTACCCTCCCCAGACCCCACTTGTGGGATTATACTGGGTCGTTGTTGTTGTTGTTGTTGTTGTACTCTGAAGGAGGCTCTGCTGGCTACGGAAGTCTCAATAAATGCAACTCACGTAAGTCTCCGTATCAACCATGCAACTATGCCACTAAGTCACTAGCCACACATAAACCTGTGCAACAAAAATGCATAGCAAGTGTAGTATGAGTACGAAAACAACGTGTTCCCAATGAGTATCCCGTCTAATCTCGAAGAAGTAAAGATGAGAGGTCAACTTCGATACTTACTAGTGGTCCAATAGTAATATATTATTAATGCGAATAATCATGGATTTATTAAGAACGACAGTAATTTCAAATAAGTCACGAACAGGTAAAAGTTCCTTTTTATATTAAAATCTCTGAATTCATAATCTATTAATTAATCATTATCTCAAGTTGGGGAGAGCAAATATCAATATCAATAAATTTCAAGGCAAGAAATACAAGCATGCGCAAATCATGCCGAGGTCGTACGGCCCGATCCAACAATATTTAAACTGTGCACTGCCAGAGGGTCAAATGACGCGAACCATAAATTCATCTATTTAATCTACCGAGGCATTCAGCCCATTCCACAATAGATAAACACATTCAAACAAATCAATCAATAATTCATCAAGGAGCAAATATTTTCAGGAAAAGGCAAATTTCTCTTTAAAAAGTCAAGAAATGATATCTAGCCTTCTTTAGAAATTTATTTACGCATTCAATATGTTTTAAGCATTTTAAGTTTGTCAACAAGGTTACAAGTATTTCAAGAAAGCATGTTTTTGGGCCCTAAACTACCCGGACTAAAGCATAATAGTAGTTACGCACGAACTCTCCGAAGACTATATTCCGATTCAAGAATGCGCACAAACCTCCAAATTGGAGCCGAACGATCCAAAACTATTCAAATAGGGTAAGAACTAGTCAATACATGCTCAAAATTTCATATTCTAATTATTAAACTAATTTTCCAACCATAAATGCAAGGTTCCTAAAATTCATCCCCGGGCCCACGTGCCCAGATTCCGGAAATTTTTGAAGAAAATTGTTACCCATAACCTAAGGATCAAGAATATATGATTTTTAATCCATTCCCTAACAAATTTCGTGGTTAAATCTTATTTTTACCAAATTCTAGATTTTTCATCTAAAATCCTTGATTTTCACTAATTTCCACATGTTAATCTACCCATAATCTATGTATTTAACTTATGATGTGTAGAAATTACTTACCTCTTCGATGATGATGGAATCCCTCCTCAAATGCTCTCAAATATCAGTTAAAACCAAGTGGAAAATATACAAGGCTTGCAAGCCCAACATATTGCACTAACTGACAGGATATGTCTATAAGCCTCTACTGATGGATATACTATGATCGGAACAGCTCCCTGACCTACTCATAACATATATACATATATATACAAGATGTATATAAGGCTCTAGACCCGAAACTCCGAAAGGCATGGAGCTTACTAATCAAGCTGAACTTGGGCAACACTTATTGAAGAGGCCTACTCGTCTGTCTGTCTGACCTGCACGCATGAAATGCAACGCCCCCAGAAAAGGGACGTCAGTACGAAATAATGTACTGAGTATGTAAGGCAATATACTGAAAGCTGAAACTGAACTGATAATATAATAACTGCAAGTAGCTGGAAGTCAAAGATAATCTGAAGATATGTTTACATGCTGATACTGACTCAATTCTCTCAATATAGTAAGTAAAATAGTTGTCCGGCCCTATAAGGCTCGGTATACATATATATCTGCTCTGCCATAGTAGGCTCGCTCATAAGCGCTCGGCCATACTAGGCTCTGTATCTCGACCAACTAGGCTCGCTCATAAGCGCTCGACCACAGTAGGCTCGGTATATATATAACTGCTCTACTGTAGTAGGCTTGCTCATAAGCGCTCGGCCATACTAGGCTCTGTATCTCGACCAACTGGGCTCGCTCATATGCGCTCGGCCACAGTAGGCTCGGTATATAACTTACCATCTGATCAGAGGTTGCCCAATAGGAGTCTGCCCATCGATTATAGCTCGATGGTAATGAAAATACTTTTAATACTGTATATATAAACTTCTCTGCTCTCTTGACTGGAAGAAGGAAACACTCGACTGAATATGAAGTCTAGATAATGAGAATATTATAACTTACAACACTAGGAAAATATACGTAATTTGCGAGACTAGCAAAATATACGTAAATTTCGGGATATGAATGTAATGACGAGATCATGCCAAATGAAATAAGAGCTTAGCCTTAACATACCTAGAGTATGGTATAATCCGTATGATATTCTTGGAAAAGGTTGCACCGTACTCCCTTAGAATTGCAAAATCCCATTGTTATTACGCATTGTAGTTTCGTATGAATTTCTTTACCAACCTAAGAATTGCCGTTGCTTATTGTACTATGAAAATCTAATATGAACTTTTGAAATCATCTTCAAAATGGAATTTTAATGCCAAAATGAGCATAATGGTATGTACCATGTATGACCTTTATTTGTTTTCCTCGTACTATTTTATATCTTTCTTTCCATCATTTATTTATTTCCTATTATGAGGTAGTGCAACCTACCTTTCATGAAATCTAGGTGTGGGGATTCAGATGTTATATTAATAGAAAAACAAACAATGGGTAAAGATGACTAATATAAGCCTTCAACGTTTTTATGGGTTAAATAAATAGTCCAAGTGTCTTGTTAATGTAGAACCTAAATCAAGAGTCATTCAATTCTCTTTACTTAGCTGCCACATTTTTTTTATTTTGATACTTATCCAAAGTATTCAATTAATTTAATTAGGTAGTATTTTGTTACACGATAATTAAGAATTGTCTCAAAATTACTTAAAATTATACTTATTTTTAATACACTTTATATATTTTACTATCATCGTCATATGGTACCTTGTATGGTACTAGTCCGTAAATATCGAGTATTAATGCTCGGCCAGTATTTTATCCCAACATGCCAAACTTGGACGAAACTTTATTTTCTTTGACTTGCTTCCCCTCTCACCTTCACGAATTTACTCATCACTTGTTTGAAATATCATCCTTATAATCTCCAAATAATCTTTTTCTTGGACTGATATCAATTACCTTACGACAAATTCAGCGTACAATACTACAGGGTTCAACATCATCGTAATTTAATACTGTGAAGCGTAACATCACCGTAATATAGTACTGCAGAACGAAATATCGACATAATATTGCGGGGCGTAACATTATTCCCCTCTTTAGAACATTTGTCCTCGAATGTTGATTGGTGCACTTATTATTCTCATTACCTAAAGCTCATTGCGAATACTTTAATATTCTCTTTTCCATTTTGGCAACTGTTCTTTGATTAATTTTCAAAGGCCAGAACATTCCCCCCTTTAGGCCTCTTTCCCACGCCATGACTTGTGATCGAATTCCTTCCAATCTCATAACTGTTGCTACCTTTTAATATGCAGCCTGTATGACCTTGACCTTGTAATTGCGCCTATGCGACTCTTCTCCCCTTTTTCCTCTAGCTTCTAGCCAATCATTAAACTTCACTTCGCAAACATATACAGAGCTTAATGAAATGCCCCTCTGGGCATTTGTAGGCATACTAAAGTTCTTTGCTTGGTATTTTGTTGAAATTATGATTATTGCAACATTTTGTTTCATAGAACCGATTATCTAACCGCGTG